TTTGTGGACCTGTGAAGTATTTGTGGACCTGTGGAGTGTTTGTGGACCTGTATAGTGTTTGTAAACCTGGGGAGTGTTTTTTATGGACCTGTGAAGTATTTGTGAACCTGTATAGTGTTTGTGGACCTGTATAGTGTTTGTGGACCTGTATAGTGTTTGTGGACCTGTATAGTGTTTGTGGACCTGTATAGTGTTTGTGGACCTGTATACCTGTGAAGTGTTTTGTGGACCTGTGGAGTGTTTGTGGACCTGTATAGTGTTTGTGGACCTATGGAGTGTTTGTGGACCTGTATAGTGTTTGTGGACCTGTGGAGTGTTTGTGGACCTGTGAAGTGTTTGTGGACCTGTGGAGTGTTTGTGGACCTGTGGAATGTTTGTGGACCTGTATAGTTTTTGTGGACCTGTATAGTGTTTGTGGACCTGTGAAGTATTTGTGGACCTGTGGAGTGTTTATGGACCTGTATAGTGTTTGTGGACCTATGGAGTGCTTGTGGACCTGTATAGTGTTTGTGGACCTGTGGAGTGTTTGTGGACCTGTGAAGTGTTTGTGGACCTGTATAGTGTTTTTGGACCTTAGTTGAGTGTTTTTGGACCTTAGTTGAGTGTTTTTGGACGTGTGGAGTGTTTGTGGAGGAATGTTTGTGGACCTGTAGAGTGTGTATGGACCACTGTAGGATATTTCTGTTGTGTTTTGCTGACCTGTAAAAGGACCAGCTGAGGAATGTTCCAGCTTACAGTATATATAACACACTGTGTATCTATTGTGGGTATAAATATAGAGTTATAACTTTATCCTCATCTCACAGCTGGAGTCGGCTGCTTCCACTAAGCTGTGTCCAGGATATAAAGTATTTTTCATACATCTGTTGTTTCTTAAGCTTTTGATTCAGTTTTCTTTTCTACCTGATCGAATGAAGAAATTTGGCCTGAAAAATGTTCACAGATGGTTATATTCATTGACATAGCTTCGAAAGTTGCCAGACTTGTTTCTAGGGTGTGTGGTGAGGCTGGAACACAGATGGTACCTATCTGCCCTGGAATGTCTGCCCTGTTCTACCTCTTCCTCAAGGTAGACTAGTCACATCTGTGCAATGTCAGGTCCAATGTACAGACAAGGGGCTGACAGGGTAGTCATGATTGTCAGTTTTCATGGTTTGTTAGTGGTCCATCACATGTCTCCTATATATCCTAAATCTACTCCTGTATCCTATACTTTGCCAGTTGGCCTTTGTATAGTATAAAAAAATTGCCAAATTAATTAGTTATATCAAAACTGTATTATCCAAGCTGCCAAAATCCTACCACAAGCACCATGTAATATTACATAGTCCTGTTTAATGGGAGGAAGATTTACATGGACACCTTGTTACAACCTTCCATATGTCCACCCTTCATATCAGAAATTTGGATGGAAAGTTGGCATGTCCGTAAAGGAAACCTAATTATTATCTCCCTTGGCTAATTATCTAGACACCTGGTATTGGAAGGCTCTCTGCAAACAGTAAACTCATATTTTGTCTTCAAAGACATTTTTCTGTCTTTTATTTGGTAAGTAAGTACATTTTCATTCTACATGTTTGTACGTTGATGCCAAACCTGTATATCAAAGTAAAAACGGTATTGATTCAGTAGTTTACTTTTGAAGATGGGTAGACATATGTCTTTAGGAGATGGGTAGACATATGTCTTTAGGAGATGGGTAGACATTTGTCTTTAAGAGATTGGTAGACATGTGTCTTTAGGAGACTGGTAGACATGTCTTTAGGAGATGGGTAGACATATATCTTTAAGAGATGGGTAGACATATGTCTATAGGAGACGGGTAGACATATGTCTTTAGGAGACGGGTAGACATATGTCTATAGGAGATGGGTAGACATATGTCTTTAGGAGACAGGTAGACATATGTCTTTAGGAGATGGGTAGACATATGTGTTAAGGTTTTTTTTGCTGTCCACTTCTTGTTGTAGCTATCTTGAATTTGCTGCAAACATTTTAGCACCTGTTTATGATACCTGTATCACATAAAACAGCACAATACTGAACCTTATGCTACCGTAACTCAAACAACAATTAGCCATTTTACCTTCTCAAGCACTTATTTATGATACCTGTATCACATAAAATAGCACAATACTGAACCTTATGCTGCCATAACACAACAGTTAGCAACGATACTTTCACATGCATCAGTTGATGTTGTCGCTGTGTCCTTTACATGTAGGTCATTGTATATTGATGGTATTTATAAACTGATGTTGATTGGAGTTAAAACTGTCAGGTGGTATGTGTAAACACTACATTAATGCTATCAATAATTTATGCACATGTTTGATTTATAGGGTGCATTTGGTGCTCATTGATGTTTACTGAAGTCTAAGGAAAGTGTAAGGAGTCGTATCATTGATGTAAATCTGTCTGAACATGGAGTTGTAGAGATTGTAATCTCTCATAAACTAATCCCACAAATAGACTGAAAGCAGGGTACTTCAATTAGAACTATCCAGATAGGGGGATGACAGGGTATTTAGATAACACTATCACCCTGATAGGGGGATGACAGGGTATTTAGATAACACTATCACCCTGATAGGGGGATGACAGGGTATTTAGATAACACTGTCACCCTGATAGGGGGATGACAGGGTATATAGATAACACTGTCACCCTGATAGGGGGATGACAGGGTATATAGATAACACTGTCACCCTGATAGGGGGATGACAGGGTATACAGATAACACTGTCACCCTGATAGGGGGATGACAGGGTATACAGATAACACTGTCACCCTGATAGGGGGATGACAGGGTATACAGATAACACTGTCACCCTGATAGGGGGATGACAGGGTATACAGATAACACTATCACCCTGATAGGGGGATGACAGGGTATTTAGATAACACTATCACCCTGATAGGGGGATGACAGGGTATATAGATGACACTATCACCCTGATAGGGGGATGACAGGGTATATAGATGACACTATCACCCTGATAGGGGGATGACAGGGTATACAGATGACACTATCAACCTGATAGGGGGATGACAGGGTATACAGATGACACTATCACCCTGATAGGGGGATGACAGGGTATACAGATAACACTATCACCCTGATAGGGGGATGACAGGGTATATAGATAACACTATCACCCTGATAGGGGGATGACAGGGTATATAGATAACACTATCACCCTGATAGGGGGATGACAGGGTATATAGATAACACTATCACCCTGATAGGGGGATGACAGGGTATATAGATAACACTATCACCCTGATAGGGGGATGACAGGGTATATAGATAACACTATCACCCTGATAGGGGGATGACAGGGTATACAGATAACACTGTCAACCTGATAGGGGGATGACAGGGTATACAGATAACACTGTCACCCTGTTAGGGGGATGACAGGGTATACAGATAACACTGTCACCCTGATAGGGGGATGACAGGGTATACAGATAACACTGTCACCCTGATAGGGGGATGACAGGGTATATAGATAACACTGTCACCCTGATAGGGGGATGACAGGGTATACAGATAACACTGTCACCCTGATAGGGGGATGACAGGGTATATAGATAACACTATCACCCTGATAATGTAATGTCAGTTTCATTTGCTGTACCATTGTAATATCAATATAGAAGGTTTAACCTTTGTTGTAATATTAGCAGATGTTGTTCCATTTTAATGCCACTGTAAAAGGTTTTTGACATGTGTCATGCATTTTCTGATTCTTTGGAACAATTATGTTATGTCAGTAAGAAAATTTTGCTGCCTGTTTTATCTTCCTTATGATGACATTATAACTGACTTAATGGCTGGTGTGTGTACTCACAGCTGGGTAGACTCCCCACTGATTTCTATGGAACTGCTATGGTTTAAGCTTGAGCTTTAAGAATGTGTTTATAACTGGATTAAGTTATTAACTGTTAGGGTAATCTGATGTAAGTGCTTTAATTCCTGATCATACTGTTATATATTTAAGGCCACCTTAGGGTGATATTTGGACATGAAACTGAGTCAATAGATCACATGGAGCAGCTGGCAGGTGTTTTACCATGTTTAGACCAGGGCACGTCACCAATATACATATAATATGTGTACTAAATTTGATTTACCAATGGATATCTTCTCTTCGTATCATTGCACGATGAAAGTATTGGATTTTTTTAGGGATATTTGGTTATCCTGAGTGACGGTAAGGAATTCTACTGTTGCATATTGTAAGCTGTTCAATATCAAAATGGCTGTAGGAAGTCATTTATCAGGAAAAGTAAATACAGTGTAGGAAAGCTAAGTTAACCTGAATTTCTGTATCTCTAGTCACGGAATATCCCCGGAGGGTTGTTAGGGGTGTAATTACAGGTATAACCACACTGATACATTGTCCACAGAAATCTAGCTACGCTGTAGTGTCAACTTCAACAGTCACCCCCAAACTTTGTGGAAATAGTCTTATTGTGCATATCTTATTTGATCTTGGAGAAATGGTGTACTGGGGAGTTTAAATTAAAAGCCAACACGAATATCTGCTTTTAAGTGAAGTTACAGGTATGTTTTATTTGGTTTTTACTGTGGGCAAGACCTTGACCTTACATGTTTGACCTTTGAGGTGAGATTTTGATAGCTAAAACCGATATTTATTTAGATGTTTTTTAGATGTTTTTAAAGTGAAGCAGAGTTAAAAAATTGATAATGATGATTTGTTAATCTCAAACTTTGATAATTCTGCTTTGTATAATGTGAGAATGTAGTTGTTTACATGACTAGTATACATGTGATGATCATAGGTGTGACAAATCACAGGTGTGACAAACTACAGGTGTGACTGATACAGGTGTGACATGATGGAGGTGTGACATGATACAGGCATGACCCATGACAGCAAACAGTTAATGATGTCTGTAATGATAATGTGCAACTTTAAAGTTTTTAGAGATTAGATACCTGACTTACATTTTTTTTTCATTCATTTTAGGTGCCAAAAACGCCAAACACCGCAATCCAGAAGGGGATACCACATCCTCCCCATCACCCAAAAAGTCACCCAAACGCTCACATCGTACATCTCGGTCATCCAGTCGGGAACGAACCCCTTCCCCAGTGGCCAGCCGAAAGGAAGCAAGGGACCAGGATGTAGCGGTACAGGAGGAGATACAACAACCCATAGTGGCTCGCCATACAGACACCCAACCAGATCGACCACAATCACATCCTGTGTCTCTTGAAAATGGCGTGCATGAGCAAGAATCCATGGATGTGGATGATCACAAAGAAAACGTGCCAGAAATAGACAGCCAGATTATCGTAGAGAAAATGTCTTCTAGTCCTAGAACTCCTGCTAAAATGGTGAATGGACATGATAAACAGTCAGAACCCTTTACACCATTAAATGTGAATGATTCTCGGATCTCTAACCATCTCCCGCAAGCAACATCCACTCCAGCCCCCAATGGGGTCATCAATAACATGAATGGACCAATGAGTAAGTTTGTCAATCGTTGAACTTACATTTGACTAGTGAGTAAATCTGTCCATCATTTGACTGACATTTGACAAGTAAGTCTGTCGATCATTTAACAGACATTTGACTAGTAAGTGTGTCAATCATTTAACAGACATGTGACTAGTAAGTCTGTCAATCATTTAACAGACATGTGACTAGTAAGTCTGTCAATCATTTAACAGACATTTGACTAGTAAGTCTGTCAATCATTTAACTGACTAATAGACATGTGACTAGTTAGTCTGTCAATCATTTAACAGACATGTGACTAGTAAGTCTGTCAATCATTTAACAGACATGTGACTAGTAAGTCTGTCAGTCATTTAACAGACATTTGACTAGCAAGTGTGTCAATCATTTAACTGACTAATAGACATGTGACTAGTTAGTCTGTCAATCATTTAACAGACATTTGACTAGATAGTCTGTCAATCATTTAACAGACATTTGACTAGTAAGTTTGTCAATCATTTAACTGACTAATAGACATGTGACTAGTTAGTCTGTCAATCATTTAACAGACATTTGACTAGATAGTCTGTCAATCATTTAACAGACATTTGACTAGTAAGTGTGTCAATCATTTAACAGACATGTGACTAGTAAGTCTGTCAATCATTTAACTGACTAATAGACATGACATTTGACTAGTAAGTTTGTCAATCATTTAACTGACTAATAGACATGTGACTAGTTAGTCTGTCAATTATTTAACAGACATGTGACTATTGAGTTTGTCAATCATTTAACTGACTAATAGACATGTGACTAGTAAGTCTGTCAGTCATTTAACTGACATTTGACTAGTTAGTCTGTCAATCATTTAACTGACATTTGACTAGTTAGTCTGTCAATTATTTAACAGACATTTGACTAGTGAGTTTGTCACTCATTTAACCGACTAATAGACATGTGACTAGTTAGTCTGTCAATCATTTAACAGACATTTGACTAGTAAGTCTGTCAATCATTTAACTGACATTTGACTAGTTAGTCTGTCAATCATTTAACAGACATTTGACTATTGAGTTTGTCACTCATTTAACCGACTAATAGACATGTGACTAGTAAGTCTGTCAATTATTTAACAGACATTCGACTAGTTAGTCTGTCAAACATTTAACAGACATTTGACTATTGAGTTTGTCACTCATTTAACCGACTAATAGACATGTGACTAGTAAGTCTGTCAATCATTTAACAGACATGTGACTAGTTAGTCTGTCAATCATTTAACAGACATGTGACTAGTTAGTCTGTCAATCATTTAACAGACATTTGACTATTGAGTTTGTCACTCATTTAACCGACTAATAGACATGTGACTAGTAAGTCTGTCAATCATTTAACAGACATTTGACTAGTTAGTCTGTCAAACATTTAACTGACATTTGACTAGTTAGTCTGTCAAACATTTAACAGACATTTGACTAGTAAGTCTGACTAGTAAGTCTGTCAATTATTTAACAGACATTTGACTAGTAAGTCTGTCAAACATTTAACAGACATTTGACTAGTTAGTCTGTCAATCATTTAACAGACATTTGACTAGTTAGTCTGTCAATTATTTAACAGACATTTGACTAGTAAGTCTGTCAATCATTTAACAGACATTTGACTAGTAAGGCTGTCAATCATTTAACAGACATGTGACTAGTAAGTCTGTCAATCATTTAACAGACATGTGACTAGTAAGTCTGTCAATCATTTAACAGACATTTGACTAGTTAGTCTGTCAATTATTTAACAGACATTTGACTAGTTAGTCTGTCAAACATTTAACTGACATTTGACTAGTTAGTCTGTCAATCATTTAACAGACATTTGACTAGTTAGTCTGTCAATTATTTAACAGACATTTGACTAGTAAGTCTGTCAATCATTTAACAGACATTTGACTAGTAAGTCTGTCAATCATTTAACAGACATGTGACTAGTTAGTCTGTCAATCATTTAACAGACATTTGACTAGTAAGGCTGTCAATCATTTAACAGACATTTGACTAGTAAGTCTGTCAATCATTTAACAGACATGTGACTAGTTAGTCTGTCAATCATTTAACAGACATGTGACTAGTAAGTCTGTCAAACATTTAACAGACATGTGACTAGTAAGTCTGTCAATCATTTAACAGACATGTGACTAGTAAGTCTGTCAATCATTTAACAAATTTTTAAGTATATTGAGAACGTAGACTTGTTAATTTGATTTGTTTGTTCTTTTCTCTGATCAAGGTAACATAATTGGGTCAGGTAAATATCAGATATATAATCCTTTATTGATTCAGCTGTATGATCTACATCAGAGAGAGGTCAATGTTTGATCATACGTGACGGCAAAACATGCATGGCCCTCTGATTGAATCAAATAGGGTATTTAGTAAAATATCAATGATCAGCAGTATTTTATATTAATTGGGTATGTCACTTCTTAGCTAAGTCAGATTTCTAAGCACATCATTTATATGATAATATACAGAGGAGTACCCAACACTCCTCATCTGGAACTTTGTGGTGGCGTCCTCGGGTAGATACATGTAGGATTCAATAGAGTTCTGTAACGATTAAAATACAGTAAAAAAGGAAACTCGCTGCTTCAAGGACGTTTTCACACATTCCACATAACATCCTTGTAGAGTTGAGTGTCCTTTTTGCTGTATTATATCATACAAAAATGGGGAAAACACATTTTTCTAACTTGTGGAATTAGATAATTTCATGGTTGCAGAAAAAAAAATCAAGTAATGTTTTCCAGTTTAAAGCAGGATCATGAGGCATAACAGTATATGTAAAGAAAACTGTTGTTTTGTTTACTGATCATAGAATTAATACTTGATAGAGAGATACTTGATTGAACCCATACAAACCTATTGTAAAATTTTAAAAGTCTGATGTATAAAAAAATGTAAAGAACAACAAGAGGTCGACTTCTGTTGTCGTGTATGGCAGGTTTCAATATCATAGATGTATATAGTGCTTGACATCAGACCACACCAGGGATCTCAGGCATTGTTATGTAGGGTTCCTTGGTACATCAACTGGCTTTGTAAAGAATTTGCTCTTGTAAATTTTTACATTAGCTTACCTCCCCCTAGTTTGAAATGTAGGCCAGCATTATAACATCAGTTTTATTCATAATATTACTATTCTAGATATAAGCACCAGTGTAATCAACTCAGACATGTCCCAATATTTGCCCTGACGTAGAGACAAGGTGACATGTATGCTGGTGAGATAAATGTTATATATTTCAAAATATCTTACAATTTTGTAGTTTATCTCAGGTCATCTTTTTAATTATAAAGTATTTCATTATCAGTATTTCTGTTAATTTCATCATTCCTTGGCAATTCTGTATGTAATCAGAAAAAGTCTAAATTTAGATTATTGGTTTGTAGACCGATGTTTTAGTATAGATTTACACAACAGTAAGTGGTATGTACCTCACTACTACGGTGTGTACAAACGTGTAAATATAGGTATAACCTTCATTGGGCTGACTTGCAAGTTAGTGGAAATTAAATACACAACATGGTTGAATGAGTTTTCTCATGGTTTATAAATATTTGCGGGGATTGAATTATAGATTTATTTCATGAATTAAATGTAAGTCAACCTTGTGTGATAAAACCGGGGAGCTGGTTGATTATTTAGGCTTCAATCATGTGGCTTTTTAAACCTTGGAAGTTTTCAATATGTCCAGATAGAGCTAGTTAAACAGGTTATACTATATAACAAGATTATCCTTTTTAATCGTGGTTTATTTCATTTTCTGTATACAAAGGTTCATTTAGAGAAACTTGTACCGTCATATGTAAAATTCAGTGTGTACTTGACAGCCTCATTTTCTCTATCAGAAGTAAATTATTTAGCATAAATATCAGTAAATGTGTAAATATGATACATTTTCCCTGGGATCTGTAGACGATTGTGCATATATCCAGATTTGTGAAAAATCTAGATGTAAGAAGATCTCAACTTTTTCTATGATTTCAACAAACTTTGGGTCTATACATACTCAAAATACTTCTTAACATTATAATAGCTAATAGTTGCAGTGTACTTTGAATTAAATTCCTTTATATTGGTTTTAGAGTGTTATTTTCTGGGTTTGGTTTTAGGCATGGCAGGTCAGAGAGTGTTATTTTCTGGGTTTGGTTTTAGACATGGCAGGTCAGAGAGTGTTATTATTTTCTGGGTTTGGTTTTAGACATGGCAGGTCAGAGAGTGTTATTATTTTCTGGGTTTGGTTTTAGACATGGCAGGTCAGAGAGTGTTATTTTCTGGGTTTGGTTTTAGACATGGCAGGTCAGAGAGTGTTATTATTTTCTGGGTTTGGTTTTAGACATGGCAGGTCAGAGAGTGTTATTTTCTGGGTTTGGTTTTAGACATGGCAGGTCAGAGAGTGTTATTATTTTCTGGGTTTGGTTTTAGACATGGCAGGTCAGAGAGTGTTATTTTCTGGGTTTGGTTTTAGACATGGCAGGTCAGAGAGTGTTATTATTTTCTGGGTTTGGTTTTAGACATGGCAGGTCAGAGAGTGTTATTATTTTCTGGGTTTGGTTTTAGACATGGCAGGTCAGAGAGTGTTATTATTTTCTGGGTTTGGTTTTAGACATGGCAGGTCAGAGAGTGTTATTATTTTCTGGGTTTGGTTTTAGACATGGCAGGTCAGAGAGTGTTATTATTTTCTGGGTTTGGTTTTAGACATGGCAGGTCAGAGAGTGTTATTATTTTCTGGGTTTGGTTTTAGACATGGCAGGTCAGAGAGTGTTATTATTTTCTGGGTTTGGTTTTAGACATGGCAGGTCAGAGAGTGTTATTATTTTCTGGGTTTGGTTTTAGACATGGCAGGTCAGAGAGTGTTATTATTTTCTGGGTTTGGTTTTAGACATGGCAGGTCAGAGAGTGTTATTATTTTCTGGGTTTGGTTTTAGACATGGCAGGTCAGAGAGTGTTATTATTTTCTGGGTTTGGTTTTAGACATGGCAGGTCAGAGAGTGTTATTATTTTCTGGGTTTGGTTTTAGACATGGCAGGTCAGAGAGTGTTATTATTTTCTGGGTTTGGTTTTAGACATGGCAGGTCAGAGAGTGTTATTTTCTGTGTTTCTCACTCCTCTGTTTGTAGGTATATCCAAGTCTAGTTTGGTTTGCCACATTGCTCAACAGTTGATCATCTCAAATACTACAGATAATTTGAAGCATTTTTTCATCATCTCCTGAACATAATTTTCAGAATGTGTCCTGAAAATCGTATTCAAAATTTATCGTGAAAATAATTTTCAAAATGTGTAAACTGGGAGCATGTCCCTAGGAAAAGACAGACCATTATCTAAGTCATGAAAAATCATGTGTCCCATTCATGTTTTGTCAGGTGAGTGTATTCCCATCGTAAACATAGCTACAAAATAGAGCAGGTCCCATGGACCTGTTGTTTGTTAATAAGGTGGTGATGAGACCTTCTCGTTTATTGTTGGGTATGGCCTCTGTCAATCAAGGGGCCTGTCTGACCAGTGTAAATATTTGGTCAGCAGATCCCAACTGGTCAAGGCAACAGTTTACATTGCTGAGGTGTCCTATGGTAATAACATAATCTCTAGTTTTCACCACTTTGTAAACACCAGCCCTGTCCTGGCTGACAAGAAGTGTGAAGAGGTGTTCGATTACACCATTCACTACTGATGGATTCTCTAGGCCCTACACTATCAGATTTCCCTGTTTTCTACAAAAATTGTTTTAGGATGTGATATATTACTAAGATACAGATTTAAATGTACCTTCTATGTTACCTTAGTACAGATAGACACACATTTCTCCCATTTATAAGTTTAGGCCTCCACACAACAGATCTAGATTTACGAAGATACAGCACGATACACAAAAAACGTACTGCAACTAGATCCAACTGCACATGTCTCAATTTCTAAAACTCTGAAGATTTACTAGAAAAACATTTGTATGACAAATAGTTTTAAGTCAGTTGTAAGTTTTGTGTCCTAGAGTAGCTTAGATGATTTTCGTGACCTTTTGAACCAGCCCCTAAATATATGCTCGATGAATCTGGAACTAGAATTCATAAAGATTCTTTACTTTGGAACAAGATTTTATTGAGCTGCATTAATTCTGAAATAGAATTCATCTAGCTCCATTTCTCTACTAGAACTGGAATTTGATAAGCATCCTGACTTTTGAACTGGACTTCTAGTTCCTTTTCTCTAGAGTGTAAGTTCCAGTAAAAATATTTTTAGTGCTTAATTATTAAGTAAATGTTACAAAACCAAACCAAGTTATAAAACTCCATAATTTATGTAAACAAATAAGCACACTGTGCACTTTCAGAAAAGACGGAAAAGAAACAGCTAATGAAAAAAAAATGCAAGTGAATTTTATTTAAGTACATCTATTGCTTCATAGGTAAATAGGTTGTGCGGTAAAGGTAGATATGATGTGCAGTGAAGGTAGGTAGTATGTGCAGTAAAGGTAGATATGTTGTGCAGTGAAGGTAGGTAGTATGTGCAGTAAAGGTAGATATGTTGTGCAGTGAAGGTAGGTAGTATGTGCAGTAAAGGTAAGATAGGATGTGCAGTGAAGGTAGGTAGTATGTGCAGTAAAGGTAGATATGATGTGCAGTGAAGGTAGGTAGTATGTGCAGTAAAGGTAAAGTGACGGTAAATAGGATGTGCAGTATTTATAACTATTGTGTTGTTGATTATAACATGTTCGTATCAAACAATGAAGTTTCTTCACTGTGTAGGAGTGTTCTGTAAACCCTTAACCCATTGTCTTCAGTACAATACCTGTTTATATTTGTACCTGTCTCCAGTATAGTTAGGAGGTCAGACAGGAAACAGGTCTTAATTACTTTGTGATTATACTGTAGTCTAATAGTGACTAAATAATCATTTATACATGTTAGCCTTTATCCTCACTGACATTCAAATGTAAACCAACAGGCAGGATACTGGAACCAAACATCCAAAACATTACCAAAAATTAATATATACTGGCAGTGATTTGTGTCAGATCTTCTGTGTCTGATCACACTGTCAGATCTTTTGTGTCAAATCAAGTCTGATCTCACTGTCAGATCTATGATGACCATTGTAACTTTGATCATTATGTTTACCTACAAATTATGCTGAACAGGTGGGATAAGAATAGACTTTTTCTTGACATATACTAATTACCTCCCTTGTCTGACCAGGTCCAGATTCAGATGCTGACCACACAGATGCGAGTGATGATGAAGCCTTCACCCCAACAGATCAACAGGTAAGGAAATACTTACATGACCACGGAAACAGAATACAACCAGACAGGTTGTCATGGATGTTGTTGATACATGGTTTCTATGGAAACAAGTTTCATCATGCTAGGTCGTCATGTATCCTGTTTATATAACCACGAAAACAAGATTACAGCATGGAAGGATAGCTAAATCTGAATGTAAACAGCACAGTCATGAAAAATACATTACATATTTATAGTATTCTAGAAATAATAGAGAAATAGTGGTGCTAGATGTTCAGTAATCAGGCTATAATAGGTATTTATAATCAGCTGTTATGTTCCAGCTATATAATAGGTATTTATTATCAGCTGTTACGTACTAGCTATATAATAGGTATTTATTATCAGCTGTTATGTACTAGCTATATAATAGGTATTATTATCAGCTGTTATGTACCAGCTATATAATAGGTATTTATTATCAGCTGTTATGTACCAGCTATATAATAGGTATTTATTATCAGCTGTTATGTACTAGCTATATAATAGGTATTTATTATCAGCTGTTACGTACTAGCTATATAATAGGTATTTATTATCAGCTGTTATGTACCAGCTATATAATAGGTATTTATTATCAGCTGTTATGTACTAGCTATATAATAGGTATTTATTATCAGCTGTTATGTACCAGCTATATAATAGGTATTTATTATCAGCTGTTACGTACTAGCTATATAATAGGTATTTATTATCAGCTGTTACGTACAAGCTATATAATATGTATTTATAATCAGCTGTTACGTACTAGCTATATAATATGTATTTATTATCAGCTGTTATGTACTAGCTATATAATATGTATTTATAATCAGCTGTTATGTACCAGCTATATAATAGGTATTTATTATCAGCTGTTATGTACCAGCTATATAATAGGTATTTATTATCAGCTGTTATGTACCAGCTATATAATAGGTATTTATAATCAGCTGTTATGTACTAGCTATATAATAGGTATTTATAATCAGCTGTAATGCACCAGCTATATATAAGGTATTTATTCATAAGCATTGCATGAAAGTGTGGATGATTTGGTGAATTAGTTAAGAACCTCCTGATGTATAATTCTGTAAAGCTATGGAGATATTTAGTAAGGCTTACAGAACTAGCATGGTGACTGCATGGTGGATGGATGGTTTAAGCTTAGAAAGTATAACTAGGAATCAAAACTGTCAGGCTTCAAAGGAAGCTTAAGGTTCCTTCATAGCAAATTAAGAAATTAAGGTACTCAATAGCCAACACGTAACAGATGGTTACCATAGAAACAAGATCAGTAGAGAGGATAGTTCCTTCGATAGAATATATCAACAAAATAAACACAGTTAACCTTGTATGTTTCTCTGCTGTCACTGAGTGCAGTGCTGTGAATTACAAATTGCGAAGTACTTTATTAAAGCTTAATGTCAATTTTCATGTGTTAATGTTTTCAGTAAGGCTTTTAAATTAAATAGCTAACTTTTATGAGTATCACAAATTATTAATGACACTTAAGATCATCTATCAAATCTGTCCAATCAAATTACAGTAACGATATAATGCTGACTTATTATTCTATCTTCATCACTCTGGTACATCTCTCATCAAGGATTTCTGCAGTAAATTCTGATATATGATTATTGAAATAAAACATTTTAAAGTGAGTATCATTAAGAACACTAAAGAATTCATCCTTTTATCAACATAATAGGATAATAAAGATTAATTATAATGTTAGTTTGTCATTATTGCACTAATCAATCACAGATGCAACAACCTCTTCATCAATTTTAACCAATCAGAATTCACGTTTACAGTTTTTGCAGTGTCAGATCCTCATTCATTTGCTGTGAAGTTTTCCTCTGGTGTTCATACATTCTTGTGAACTGACAATTAGGTTCTTGTTTAATAATGTTTGGAGTTAAACCAACGTTTGTTTCTATTTTCTATGTAATGTTCATGTCCTCAGTTGTTAATGATCAATTTTGTAAATTAGAAAATAGAAAAAAGTTCTGGGGAAAATGTGTGAATTGTTGTTTGAAATGATGTTGGTAGTGCTTGGTGTTGATGGTTACTAACGACCACAGTTCTTTATTCTGTCAGTGATCAACAACTCCAAACTGTTAGACCAATAACCATACATCTCATCATTGGAAATATTTCACAAGCTACACTGTAATTACCTTGCAGTGAATCAGAGAGTAAAAACCTTGGAAGATTGACATGGCCCCAGGTTGTCACTTCCACAACGTCACACAGACTTTTAGTACACATCACTACTACATTTTTCCTTCTTTCATCATTATGCTTTGGGGGAAAAGGAAAGGATTTAAGGGGAGGTAGTGGACAGGGGTGGGGGGAGCTGTATGTATCTTTGAGCAGAAATTATACTGGACATAATAAAGTCGAAAATTGTTGATGATAACAAAGTTAAACTTTCTTGAAATTAGAAAAGATATTATGACCTTGAAAGTTAAATATTGCGACCTTGAAAGTAAAATATTGTGACCTTGAAAGTAAATGTTGTGACCAAAATAAATATATTCTGCCCAAAATGGTGTAAAAAATTTTTTGAAAGATGGTAAAATATAAGTAGTTTGTAAATATTCATATGAAGACTGTTTTACCTATGTGTCTACAACATTAATTAATTGAAAAGAAAAGTAAGAATTGTATAGTTATTTTTGAAGAACTCATGGATTATATCAAGGGGCTGCTGTAGTAGAATGTTAGGAGTTTCTTTGGAAACACTTATGATATACCTAAGTTTGTGTGTTTGGGCGAAATATCTCGGGGTTTATAAAGTAAATAGTTCATTGCAGATTAAAGTTAAATGTATAATTTTACTGCAACAAATCTTACTAACATTTACATCAACTTTTTTTGACAGTTCGCCTTTGTTTAAGTCCTAATAAAATTGTGGAATCCTGAGAAGGTTAACTTGTAGGTATATCTGATCGTTAACATTCCTCCATCCCCCTATAAATATGGGTTACTGTCCTAGTTTCCTCTATACCTTCTGTAATCTCTGACTAAACTCCACTATCTACTGAGCTGTCACAGATTCCAAGTTAAACACTTACCATCGAGATATCAGACTTTCCAAGTGAAAAGGAAGGCAGACTAATGTTGTGATACTGCTGTCCGATATGTTAGGGGGTGTTATTGATGTATAATATACTTAAATGAATCCTCGGTGATCAACTCCCAAGTGATAAAGTAAACCTCTCACGTACAGGTGTGGAGGAAGACAAGACACTTGATCAATGTATTTTGTACCAGGTAATAAATTCAGCTGTGATAATGATGTGAACAATTTTGATATATATTATGATCTGTAATGAAAGTTAATACTAATATTTTGTTGTACTTAATGCTTACGACCTAAATTATTATTTTTAGACAAAATTACTGAAATATACAAAGTGTTTCTGTATTAGATTGATTTTCAGTGTTTAAATTTTCACAATTTCAATCCTTCCTTGAAAAAAAAAAAAAAATAAAACACTTCAAATACACCCACCTTTACTGTATATATCGTTTAACATAGGTAGCCTCAAGTCAGTTAAAAATAGATTTCAGCTATTAGTAATTTTAGACAATGTTTTAAACTTTAAATCATGTTACTTCTATAATAAAAGTTCAATTTTGATGCAGATGTGCATAAACAAGAAACAAAATTTATGGTACATTTGTTGTCATGCTCGTAAAATATTCTGGAAAAAAGTTGGAAGATCTTCCTAAATATATCAAAATTGAAATCATATATATTCAGAAAAATATTTGATAAAAAAATCTTTTGAAATTTGTGATATTCAGGTTGTTGGGCCCTATTACTGGAATGTTTTAAATGTTGTATATGTAAACATGTATCCTGTTTTCAAATATCAACGACAAACCAATAACACGGTCAATTTCCATCCTCAGATTTAAATGTATGTTTGAAACTTCTCTTTGTTTTATTACTGAGTAAGTAAAACCAATAAAGTAATTTGATCTGTGTTCAGTACATACAGGGGGTACCTGGAAAATGCAGGGATCTCTTTGATATTTTGTTTGTAAACGAAGTGTATATGGACAAAGTTTGGGAGTTACATCCCAGATAGACGCATTTCCTGTGGCAGATAAGTCAGAGATAACAACAACCCAGGCCATCTCCAACTTCTGTGGTATCATGGGGAGGATTTAGAACAGGATGCTGGGTTAGAGATGTATGGAGGGTAGTAGAACCTGGGGGGGGGGGGTTCATGTTATTGTATTCTTTGATTACATTCTAAATAAGTAAACAGTGATTAGGAAAGATAAGATGGTTACATCTAATGTGCATTTGGAAAAAATTTAAATAGCAGCTAATCGAAAATTTATTTTAAATAGAACAGTGTTATAAAACTATAGATTTTGAATACACATCAATTGTATACACTTACATTAAATTACTCGACACAAAACGCCTCAAACCATGTGCAGCATCAGTTTAACATTACCAAAAATGGCAGTATTTAGTGTCATATCACCTCAACACAGTATTTGACATGGACAGTATTCACAGATCTGTCTGTACAGGTCCAAGGGACAAAATCAGATGAGGAGTAAGATTGTATGTTTAGAAACATTTTTGCATGGATGTATATGCTGTTGTACCAAGGAGGCATGAGAAATTTGTTTATGCTGATAAAGTGTTTTCTAGTGCTTGCCTGCTATCATATTTGATGCTTATTAGAATTTTAGAATGAAGACTTCTCAAATTTACCAGCTAAATTGTTGCAATGTCTCTGGTAATCCCCATTTGTAGTAACTATGATAAATTTCAGCTTGGCAGTTACCACAGTAACCCTTAATTTTGTAGTAACTACAGTTATCTTCACTTTTATAGTAACTACGGTAACTACAGTAACCTTCACTTTTGTAGTAACTACTGTAATTTATACTTTTGTTGTATCTGCAATAAACTTCACTTTTGCAGTAATTACGATAACCATCACTTTTGTGGTAACAACAATAATCCTAAGTAATCCTGACTTTTGTAGTAATTATGGAAATCCTAATTTGAATAACTTGTGTAATACTCATTTTTGTAGTAACTAAAGCAATCCTGATTTTGTATCAACTACTTAATCCTAAATTTGGTGGTAATTAAGATAATCCTAATTTGTGTGGTAACTACAGCAATCCTGACTTCTGTAGTAATTACTGTAACCATGGTTTGTGTAGTAACTATGGCAATCCTGACTTCTGTAGTAATTACTGTAACCATGGTTTGTGTAGTAACTATGGCAATCCTGACTTCTGTAGTAATTACTGTAACCATGGTTTGTGTAGTAACTATGGTAATCCTGACTTCTGTAGTAATTACTGTAACCATGGTTTGTGTAGTAACTATGGCAATCCTGACTTCTGTAGTAATTACTGTAACCATGGTTTGTGTAGTAACTATGGTAATCCTGACTTCTGTAGTAATTACTGTAACCACGGTTTGTGTAGTAACTATGGTAATCCTGACTTCTGTAGTAATTACTGTAACCATGGTTTGTGTAGTAACTATGGTAATCCTGACTTCTGTAGTAATTACTGTAACCATGGTTTGTGTAGTAACTATGGCAATCCTGACTTCTGTAGTAATTACTGTAACCATGGTTTGTGTAGTAACTATGGTAATCCTGACTTCTGTAGTAAGTATTGTAATCCTGACTTTTATGATAGTTACTATAATCCACATTTGTATGCTGACTATTGCATTCCTCCATGATGGTGGTATGATTTTTATTTAAATCTTAGGAAATGTATATTTTGTTGTGATGTATTTTGCAGCCAGTTTGTTTGTTCTTTATTTTTCCTTTGATTATTGTTGTACAGTTAATGATGTTGCATCTCTTCTTGATCATCTTACGATTTCTGTGTTTATAATGATTAAATACTACATTTACTTGTAAATTACACGGTGATTATAATCTATGATGAAGAAGTGAGTAACATTAATGTGTTGTACATAAAACATGTGTCATCCTAATATCATTTTGCTGCAGTGATGAAACGAACCACCCTAAAAGTAACTCCTAACTTATAAGTTTGTTTTGTATTTCTTCATTTAATCACAGGAAAGTATAATAGAATTAATTTACATCAACTAAAAAATTTCTTCATGTAATCACAGGTAAGTTGAAATGGAATTAAAACCAACCAAAAGTTGTATTTTGTATTTCTTTAATCAATCACAGGAAAGTTGAAATAAGAGTTAAAATCAACAAAAAATCAACAACAAAGGTGTTGTTTGCTTGTAGGATGGTTCATTTTGTTTCTGCTTTTTGATGATGTCTTGGACAGTGAAACATGTGAAATAAACCTTTAAAGTTAAGAAGTTGGAAGAATTGTTTTTGATCCCATCTGTTACTATATCTGGTAACATACAAATAATGTAACAGCGATCTGTTCTCTATCAATTAGAAATTGTTTCCTGATTATAACAGTACATATAACGTTTTATTCTTGGCTTGATTGTACCATTTCAAGAAATTATAGAAGTTGAGACTTTTTTCAGTACCTAATGAATGTGTTTTGAGGTTCAGAATGTTTTTGCCAACTGCATGTTTTAACATGTTCCACTGTTTCAAAGCCTCCCCTCCTGTTGATTTGATGTTGTGGATGTTGTATGTTGTTGTTTGCTGTTTAGTTTCAGTTCAATGACCGTAGTCCCAGCTCCGGTTCCCTGGTTTCCCAGTCCACCGTCAGCAGCAGCAAGCGTTCACAATCGGTAGGCTACCTGTGCTGTCCCTCCTGAAACACTCTGAAATTGACCAATGTAGTATCTACAATGCATTTATCCAGCAGTCCAGTCCTATGTCTTGTAATAAGACTGACCTATGTCTATTTCTGTGAAAATACAAACAGAAATTATTTCATGTGATAAGCACACTTTACATTATTTTGAGTCGAAGTTCATGTTGTCCCTTGACACGTTTCAGGATAAAATCATTACCTCATCTCCAAGTCATGTTTTGTATTGGAATTCTTATCATGATGCAAAACATTACATAGTCAGAACAGTATTTGATATTAATTTACCTAGTGTTAGCGAAGTCTTTGTATTCAGAAAAGTAATAAAACAATTTGGTTCTCAATTTTCTCTTTTTTAATGAAAATTGTGTTGATATTTAAGTTTCATGAGATGAAGGCTGAGAAGTCATACTTTTCAAAACCTACTCTTGTGAAATTCAGTGTCCTATAGACGTAGGTTTGTAGAATTGATATATCACATTCCCACTAACATCAGGAGAGCCTTTGTATTGAATGTTCACTTGCTTTCTGCTCATTTCTTTTTGTGTTTGTAAAATTAGATTGCTTTAAATTTCATGTTTGTTTTCTATTAAGGAAGCCATACGGTATGATTTTCATTCACTTTAGATATTCACCTATTTGAGATCTTTGTGTAAAATTACCTGACAAGTTAGAGGAGAAAAGTAAATCTGACACAATTTATAGTACAAATTACACAACGTACCGGATACATCAACTCTGTGTGCATGGAAGCAGAGTACTTTAACATACAAACATGATTTATGTTTAAATTAAAAGCTTTATAACACAGAAGCAATGTTAGAACCAGGTGCTATTGCGATACCACATGTGGCGCTGTGTATCAGTTGATTACCACCCCACTCTACTGTAACTCCATGTAACAATGCAGTAAAACACCGTACATATGTTCATGTTTGGAGGCCTTGCTTACCCTATCCAGGCTAGGCTGATTTTATAGGTCAAAGCATTTAATAATGATATGCCATACTACCAATTCACTACAGTTGAGTACAGAGTGGCAGCGATGCTGTAATATTTACGCCTTGGTTTTACAATCAAGTTTGGGGGACGCGATATGTTTTTTCTGCTGTCATCTGTCAATCCTATTTGTTTTTTTAAGGTGAAAGTCCATCATTCTTGTATTTATTTGATTTAATGTTTAAATTCTCACTTCAAATTTGGATTTAATCATTTATTTATTGGTTTTTCTATGATGAAATTACACAGAAGATTGAGAATTTTAATGCCTGGAAAAGGAATGTAGAGTGTAGAATTTTGTGTCAAGTAGGCCTGCTTGACTTAGTTGAATAGAGTATATCCTATGGTTACTGTGAATGTCATTCAGATGTTAAAACTCATGTGTTATCTATGGTTATGATTTTGTCTGAGGAAGGACTTATCATCGTCCCAGTCAACATATGTAGTCAGTGATGTGAAGTGTGGATTATTAATGTCAGGAACTATTCATCTTGATAGAAATATCTACATGGTTTTGCCTTTAAAAGGATGAGTGAATGACAGAAATTTTCCTGTCTTTCAGCAAGAAATAAGGGACAGGAAAAAAAAATTTGATATTCAGTGGGTAAAAACTAGTTGAGTGATGTAGGTGTGGAGGTTATTGTCTGTGCTAGTCTAGACAGATATGCTTAATATCACTTATTTTGTCATTACATGGATTAAATTTACACTAAAACTCTTGGCCTTTCATGTATCATTATTTACATGTAGAACATAAGTCAAGGTCACCGACAAACAACAGTTATCTAGATCACTGAAAAGGTCAGACCCTATCAGGCTAATTTGGGAAACATTTGAGTTTCTATTTTTTCCTGGAACTTTGGGCATGAGGTACGACAGGTAAAAATTCCATCATGAATTGAGAATTAAGATGAAAAATGAGTCTGGTTATTTTCAAAGAATTTTCTTGTTTTGTTTTGGCATGTGACCCTATCAACTGATGAGATCAGTCAGTTAATTCCCTTTCTGGAACTCTTTGATGTTTAAAAGTACATCATCTATAGCTGGTTCATAGTGCCGAAACCCTATCTACGTTGGTTCTGTGTTGGGAACAATCTGATATGAGAGCTCTTCAGTCATCTAGTGCCCAACCTTTCAAAATTTTCAAAGTTTTTGTATCAGTGATTGTTCAGTAAAGGTAAATACATAAGAATGTCTCCATAGGGATCCATAGTGATCCAAAGTGATCCATAGTGACTCCATAGTGACTCCATAGTGACTCCATAGCGATCCATAGTGATCCATAGTGACTCCATAGTGACTCCATAGTGACTCCATAGCAATCCATAGTGACTCCATAGCGATCCATAGTGACTCCATAGTGATCCATAGTGACTCCATAGTGACTCCATAGCGACCAATAGTGATCCATAGTGACTCCATAGCGATCCATAGTGACTCCATAGCGATCCATAGTGACTCCATAGTGACTCCATAGCGATCCATAGTGACTTGGATTTGTGAGTGTATTGACACCGAGCATGTATCTAAGTGATTTATGACTATAGAAATGGTGATGCAGTGGGCACTGGACATTTTCCTAGTTATTGTACTAATATACATACTATAATAGACTACTGTACAGATTCATCACTAGAGTATAACATTCTTACAAATGTTCGCTAAACATTAGCTGTAATACCACTTCTGTTAAATGTTTTAAGCTGCATTGTGTTGTAATAGGACTCTCGAATATGACCCCGTATATATGAGTGGTGCTTGACTGATCTCTTCCGTTTGTAAAGTAGCCTGGTGAGTCTGTCCTCTAGTGATAACTACTAGTCGACATGGAGGACCTGATATAGAATTCCGATACGGTTGGATGAGACTCAATAGACCGAAACAACATATCTCATATAGTAAATAGTGTGTAAAGCTTTTGTTTTAATAGATATAGGCACCATTGATTGTAATGTACAAGGGTAATTAGTGTTATAGTCTTTTGACTAAATTATGAAACAAAGTCTATCAGAATTGTCAAGATCTGAATTCATTTATTGGTTTAATGTGAAAAATATTTTGGGGTCTTTGGTCGGTGTTTAATTTCACCTGACTGAAGTTGACATCTTTTGTATTCGGATATGGATTGTTACAGTTTTATGAGCACAAACAATAATATTGATGATTTGATGTCCGTGGTCTGAGTTGATGACTATTTTTAAAGTTCAACGTTGCCTGTAAAATGATACAGGACTAATTTAATCTTAGATGTAAATGGCAGACTAGTAATTTAATTGTAGGATGACTTTTGGACTTTTGAAGAAGTATTTACTCTGGCCCATGAAATTGGTGCAGGACTTTTTATTTTTGCGAATGAATTTGTGGCAGACTCTTATACTGTTACCCATGATTTTGTATTGGGGAACTTTCCTTATGTTCCCCACAAATTGATGAAGGTCTATTTTGATGTTGTGAATGAATTTGTAGGTGACTATTTAAAAGTGGCCCATGAATTTGTGAGCTATTTCTAATGGTCCCCATGAATTGATGGAGAGCTATTGATAATATTGCCAATAGGATTACTTAAATGATTGGATTAAAGAGGAACTATTGTAGAGATTGCCTTTAACAAATGAAATACCATTGACTTCCTTACAGTACATTTAGTGGCCTGTTACTTCAGCCTAAATTTTCACAAATGAAAATGTAATTCCTGACTTGGCAAACTTCTGAAATCTGGTATAGAGAAATGGCATTTGAATGTGCAGATTTACACAAGGGATTCTAAATACATTGAAGATGTGATCCAATTTATATCATGGAAACAAATATGTCATGTTAACAATTGATACCATTCTGCAGAAATAAATATTGTTGTGTAAATCCTGAAGCCTCAGAAAAATGTAAATGGAATGCAGAAGTCATGTAATATTAGTGATTTAATGATACATGTTGTCATGGTTACAGATCACATGGTTTCATGATTTGTGGCTATGGAACATATGTACAATCATCTGATGTGCTGTATTACCATAGAAAAGCTGTAGATGACAGGAAGTGAGGCCAGTGTTTCCGAACAATCTAGACAATTTGAAAAAGAATGTTTGTGGGTGTATGATGGATAAACATCAAAATGTGTTGGTAATATATTTGAAACATACCAATTAGCCTATTTTACACCTTAGCTGAGGCCAATCCTGTTTCATATATCAGTGTTGTGATTTGTTCTCCACATCATTATAGAATTTAAACAGGAAAGTCCATAGAAATTTCAAAGATGAAAGATTGAACAACATGAAGCAGCTGTAGATATATTTACTGTTGGGTTGGTTTTGTTTCAAATTGGAATTGTCCTGTGTGTGATTTTGATTATCTTATGTATCAGAATTATTTTGTGTTGAATCAGGTTAGATAAAACTCCAGAATGTGACCAAAGAACTGGGTTATAAACATCTTCCATAGCATGTGATAGTGATGTAACACTACTTCTATTGACCATACACAACATTAATAAAATATGTAGAGTCAGGAACTATTGTATGCTTGGTATTGTAATTATCTCTGTTTTCAGTTGGCTGAATTTTGGTGTATTTTCAAATTGTAATACATTGTCTAATTGAAATATTTTTCACAGTTTTACAGACACAGTTAATCTCATTTAAATTGGTTTCTTATGGACCCAATTATAATCTATAATGGCCAACTTATGTTACTGCAAACATTTATCTATAACAAGACTAGAATTGCCTTGTTGATATGTGTTTACCAGAAAAGGATATGAGAGTCATTGGTAGGGATGCTGTGTATTATCTTTAGAAAATAAAAATACTTTTTAGCAAGATTTCTCGTTGGCAGCAGGTAAAGAGTTTGTTAATGGTTCATCACACAGCAGTGTTTTCCACACAAACAATACATGTTGGGTTAATTCACAGTAGGTGGATTTACAATGGTCATGGCTGGGTTATATAATGATGTTTATTACAGAGTTGTTTACAAAAG